ATTGTATCTTCAATTAAATAAGTGACTGGAGTTGTGTTTTGTATTTTTCGAATTCTGAATATTTCTGTCGACCAATTGGGAGTATATCCTTTTTCAAATGTTCCTTTGTACTTACTGATACGCACGTAATCACCCAATTTAAACGTACTCTTTACATTAATGTCTTTATTTTTGCTTTTCAAAGGAAACGCCCATGCGTATTTCGAAAATGTATCAATAATGGCAAGAATAAATCTAAAGTTTTTATTTTCTTTAGAAACTGATTGCATATCAATTAAATCTGCTTGCCATAGATTATCTATTCAATTCAATTCAAATTATTTATTTCGGACTATTACATCCATATAGTGTTAGTAACAATGTGTTTTAAAAACTAGTGTTAGTATTGAATTATATTTATTCGTTTATTTTAATTTTTTTATTTTACTTGAATGGAAATCCACCTCTGAATAAAGGAAGAGTCCCATCTATCTGAAAAAACATTCAGGATGCGGTTGGAGGAGGAGCGCAAACGCACCAGCATGGAGGCGCAACGTTTCCGCATTATAGCGGTGAAACCGTCGACCTGTGCCTCTGCGATCATGACTGACGCGCTACATCGCCATGGCGACCCCAAAAGCATCCTGAATGCATTATCATACTGGACACGCAGGTCGTTGTATGCCCTCTGCGTAAACTTAGTCCACAGGCTGCAGGTGTAAAAAGATTGGCAGAAGGCTTTAAACAGTATATCTTTCATAATAACATTTCAATCTTAATTTGGATTCACAAGTATGATTGCAACTTTTTAGTTATTTGTCTTTTAAAGACACTTTTTGAGAGGTGGAAGATGTCAATCTCGTCAAAATTAATATTGTAACAGCTAGGCAAACGAGTGAGAACAGAATTCTTAGCATAATTGGTGCGGTACAGAGGAATACTGAACAAGCGCGTATGTCTAGTACGAGCCCCGGGTGCATTCAAGCTAATATTAGAGAGAAGATCGATACTATCAATTTTACCTCGAATGATAGCGAACAAAAAACTCATGTCTAGTAACACACGCCTACTAGATAGAGGCAGTAGATCATAGTGCTTGCAGTCGTCAAGATATGATAAATGTCGTCTCCTTGTCTTAAAATTTAGATGTCTCACGAAACATTTTTGAATTCTCTCAATTTTATCTGTGTATTTTACATATTGGGGAGACCAAACAGGACTGCCATAATCAAGTACACTTTGCACGTATGCGCGGTAAACAGTTTTAAGGCAGTTGATATTCCTAAATTTAGCGCACGTACGCATAACGAAGCCTAGATTTCTGAATGCCTTACTGGTAATGGTGTCTATATGACGAGAAAAAAGCATTTTAGAATCCAACACCACCCCCAGGTCTCTTACATGATCTACCCTAGCGATAACATTTTCACCAAATTTGTATGTGTACTTGATAGGACTTTTACGACGACTAAAACTTATGCACTGACATTTATCAATGTTAACCGTAATTTGATTGCGTTTATAATATGAGAACAATGCGTCCAGATCTCGTTGCACCAACTCACAGTCAAGTGTAGATTTAATTTTAAAATAAATCTTTTTATCATCAGCATACATTAGATGCCTCGAATTACCAAAACACTTGTCTATGTCATACAAGTAAGCACAATAGAGAAGAGGCCCGAGATGAGATCCCTGCGGTACTCCAGAGGGGATATTGTGAAATGAGATTTAAAGCCCCCCACAGTTACAGCTTGTGAGCTGTTCGTTAAGTACGACCTTATCCAACGTAATAAGTCTTCATAATTAATAATTTTGCAAGTAATATGTCATGATGAACGTGGTCAAACGCCTTTTCAAAATCTGTATAAATAGTGTCAACTTGCCCAATGGACTCTATTCCACACAATACATAATCACAGAATAGAGCAAGGTTAGAGTTAGTGGAACGACCCCTCACAAAACCATGCTGAGTATCCGGGATGCTCTGTGAAATGATAGAGTAAATGTTGTCGCACCAGAGACTTCCTTTCTAGGGTATACCTGGTTCCCCGGCTATTAGTACCCGAGACGGCGTGCGGTTTTAGTCGGTTCGAGTCCGACATGCCACCGATAGGTGGTATCCGAGGGGATTTCCGCACGGAAAAAAAAACAAATGGTAAATGTTGTTGTATTTAATTTTTTCGAAGATCTTACTTATTATAACAAGAATAGATATGGGAAGATAATTCTGAATCAGTGACTTTGATCCTTTTTTATGGATAGGTATTATATGCGCTTTTTTCCACATGGACGGAAATATGCAATCCCGTATTCATTTTCTAAAAATCAAAAATATAGGATATGACAGATTATTAGCACATTTTGATAGAAGTATAGCAGGTATTCTATCATAGCCGGGGCCTTTTGTCTTGTCGAGTGACGTCAACAAATTGAGAACCATATCTTCCGTTATATCTATTTTTGACAAAACTTTAAGCCGTATCACAATCTGTACTAGGCATGGTCTCAGAACCATCACAAGGCATATCGTTAAACACACTAAGAAAAAAACTGTTGAAAGCTGAGCAAACGGCCTGTCCTACAGTAAAAGTAGCACCCTCTGATGTAAACTGGTTAGGGTATTGACTGCCGCCTCTCTTTGACTTGACGTACGTCCAAAAAGCTTTTGAGTTGCGGTTTATATTAGTTTCAGTGTTAGCTATAAAAATAGGAAAACAGTTTTTCTGTTCGCGGTGTTGTCTATCACGAAGAATAGTGAACTCTAGATAATTACGGAAATTACCAAATTTTTTCCATCCTTTGTGAAGTTTATTTTTCTCTTTAATTGTCTTCACCAAGGATGGGCTAAACCATGTAGGATACTGATAATTGTTGTATTTTTTTACTAAAGGAACAAACATTTCAATTCTGTCATTTAATATTTTATAAAATTTGGTCACGGCATCATCCACTGTTGAAGCTGTGCGCTTGTGGAATGCACTGCCGCTTAACATCAGGCAGGCGCAAACATTAAATAGATTCAAGAAAATGGTACAGGAATTTTATTCACCTTAATTGAGTCCATCACGCTTGAGGGTGTAACGAAACTGTTTCTCTTTTCTATATGTTTATTCATTTAAGAATGCGTATATATATATATATGTATGTGTATATGTAAATTTGCTGGTATAGTATGTAGGTACTTATATATATGTAGGTTTATTTATTGTGATATGCATTGTAGATGTAAGTATAAAAATTGTAAATGTTTGTAGATAATATAATATGTGTAGTATATGTAATAAGTATAGTAGATAATAATAAACTAATAGTAGGTTCACAAATGCAGATATTCAACTACTACTGTCTCTCTGTAACTTTTGATCCATCCTAAGGTTGCCTGGAAGAAATTGCATCTAGCAATAAGGCCGCCCTTTGCACACTCGATATTTGATCGCTGTGTTCCTTTCTTGTAACTCTGTAATTTAGTGTGCAAATAAAGAGTTATCTATCTATCTATCTATCCACGGTACAAGCATGTGTAATATCAGACCAATCAGTTTGACTCAAATATTTGTTTAAAGCATCATAGTCACGGCGGTAAAAATTATGTCGCTTATTAATTTGTTCAGTGAGTGAGGTAATATATAAATCCGTTATTTCAATTATGAAGGCAGGATGGTATTTATCCTCCTTCAAAAGGCTACTGCACTCAATCACGCTAAGGGGTTGGTTACAGAAAGCCAAGTCAAGCGTTCGATCTGCGGCATTCCTAATACAATTGTATTGTTGTAAACCTTGAAATAATAGGTCCTCAACAAATAGGGTAGCCGCAGACTGAATCTCTTTTGTGCCAATGTTAACCAACAGATAGTTATTATCGGACCATTGCAAGCAGGGAAGGTTAACATCCCCCACTAGCAAGACCATGTCAGACGAATGGGACGACGCAATCTCAAGCACCGATCTTTTAACCTCATCGAGTTGAGTAGGTATAGAAGGACTACCGGACGGGATATATGCCAAAATAATGTGTAAATTGACTTGTGTGCGTAATATTCGAGATAGATATTCGAGACTGATACACAAAGCAGCTCGGCCGTAGCACCACTAAACCCGCACTGGCGGTGTATTTACATTTGATGCAAATCAATACACCGCCTCCACTTTCTTTATCGGTACGTAACAGATCGCGATCACGTCGAAACATTTCGTATCTATTATCACATAACTCGCAATTTACAATGTCCCTTTGTAGCCATGTTTCTGTTATTAAAATTATGTCGTAGTTATGGCTAAGAATCTTGTTGTACAGATCCAAACATTTTGTGCAAAGGCCACGGACAATTTGATAATAGATACTTAAATTTTTACTTCTAGTAGCCATTGAGGTTAAATTTTGCAGCACCATGAATCAAGCCTTAGTAGTTGCATCCCAGATGCTAAATCACTTAAAGAACTATCTTATTCACTATTCTATTCACTAACTTATTCAGTACGTCTAAATTATATGTGTACTGTGTGTGTTGTTTCGGACTTGCGCACGTAGATTCGACCTCCGCGTACCCACACGAATTTATAATGTAGTTGTTTACAACGCTGACGAACCGCAGCATGTAAGGATTTATTCTCGGGTGAAAGGTTTTCTACCACGTATACAGGTGATCTGCTACCACCAATACCAAGGTCACTAGTATTCAACTTATCTTGCGCATGTTTCTTGTTATGTGCTACAACGGATAATAATAATAATAAGTTCAGTATGATTAACTATATGATACTGAATCGAAGCTCTATTATACATAGCATTTATTCCATAATTATATGAAATGCTTAGTCCGAGACAACCTTCATATAATCACTAGTAGTTTCACAATCCTCGCATTGTGTCATCGCGTGATTTAGAGAGAAGCGAATGCGACAAAAAATCCACACCATGGCAACACTATACTTATTCGTCATTCACTTTTTTCGCGCGGTGTCGAACTCACTTGTCTCACTTATATTTTTAAAATAAGCAAAAATAAGTGTTAGTAATAATGCCTAAGCGTCATAGTGACCGCGACGAAGAAGAGATAAAAAGAAAAATACGAAAGTGGGAGAAAAAACTTGAAAGACGTCGTCGTTCAAAATCCCCACAAAGATCCACAACGCCTAATATCGATTTAGTTGAGGAAAGTGATCTACTGGTAGAAAATAATGATCTCCCAAAAGAATCAGGTATGTTTTTTCAATAATACTTCCTAAAACATTTAACCTCATCATAACATTTGCATACATAACCTAAAAATGGTAGTACCTACTCATGGTGTTTAGTTTTGTAACATGTTGTACATGTTGCTTTAACACTCCGGTGGAGTGAATTGTGTGCTTTTAAAGAGAGGTTCTCTTAGCACTGTAAGGCTGCTCATGGTGTTTAGTTTTGTAACATGTGGTACATGTTGCCTTAACACTCCGGTGGAGTGAATTATGTGCTTATAAAGAGAGGCTTTTTTAGCACTATAAGGTTGATGACTTTTAAAACATGATATGTATCTTACACATACATCTTACGTGAAACTGGTAGTCTCACATATTACCAAAAACTTAACAAATGAGCCTATCTAATTCGTAGGTGAGGATGACACAATAGAGTTAGACGAGAATATATTGTCAGCATTGGGACAAACCACAAGTGCGGATAGAGAATATGGAGAAAATATACACCCGGAAATTTTAAAAAGGATTGAAAATATATTAAAGGCTGGCATAAAAAAGGATGTTAAAGAAGAATTATTAAGAAAAATTCTAATACCCAACAATATAAAATTACTAGATGCACCAAAGCTGAATATAGAACTCCAGGGCCTGCTCTCTGATACAGTTAAAGGAAGGGACAAAAGAGTAGAAGATCGTCAGCAACGGCTGGGGATAGCCATATCAGGTGTCTTAAACGTGATGAACACAATTTTAAAGGACAATTTTAACAAAATAAATATGATCACTACACTCAGTGACTCAGTGAGGTTGCTGAGTGACTTACATTTTGAAGATACTATCACACGCAGAAAATTAATATCCCCAAACCTAGATAAAAATATATCTAAAGCGATTGAAAGCACAGCTAGAGACAGTTTCCTTTTCGGTGAAAAGTTTAATGAAACAGTCAAATCGGCAAATGCCATAAGAAAGTCTGCCACTTCAATACTGAAACCAATAAATACCAATGTGTCCAAGAGCTCCCAACCCAACCGCTCACAGCCCAACACTAAAAAGCAGGGAAACTTCCGGGGCCCTCCTCGCCAAAATCAGTACAGACAGGGAGGGGGGGGGCAAGTACCAACAGAGGAGCTCGGTGAGGCCTCAACAACGGCAACAAGCCAACAAGCCATATGCTGTTCAGAAATCGGTGCGGCAAACTTAAAGGTAAATTACTTTGCTGGACGATTAAAACATTTCCTTCCTTGTTGGAAAAAGATTACCCAAGATTCAGCTGTACTATCTTGGATAAATGATTATAGTATTCCTTTTATAAAACAGCCTGTTCAACACAATATACCTAAAAATAATTCTGTTTCTAGTGCTGAATGTTATATAATATTAGATGAAATTAATAGATTAACAAAACTTGGTGTTTTGTCAAAATGTCAATATGAACAGGGTCAATTTTTGTCAAAAATCTTTACAGTACCAAAACCAAATGGTAAAATAAGGTTAATTCTGAACTTGAAATGTTTAAATAAGTTTATAGTACCTGACCATTTTAAAATGGAAGATATGAGAACTTTGTGTAGACTAATTAAATATAATAGTTATATGTGTACAATAGATTTGAAAGATGCATATTTTTTAATACCAATTAAAAATGATAAAAAATATCTAAGGTTTAACTTTCAAGGTATATTGTATGAATTTAACTGTATGCCATTTGGTTTATGCACTGCACCTCTTACTTTTACAAAAATATTGAAGCCAGTAATGACTTTTCTCCGTAGTAAGGGATATAAATCAGTAATTTATGTAGATGATATAATATGTATTGGATCAACTTATAGTGAGTGTTTGGAAAATTGTCAAACAACTATAAGAGCCTTAGAGTGTCTTGGTTTTGTTATTAACAAAGAGAAAAGTATTCTTTCTCCCTGCCAAGTTATTGAATATTTGGGCTATATTATTAATACCAAGTCTTTGACATTATCGATAACTAATAAAAAACGAATGTCTACAATATCATTAGTTAAACATTTTTTAAATATTAAGCAAAGTACTATAAGAGAATTCGCTCAACTCATTGGGATTTTAATAGCATGTTGTCCAGCGGTTTCTTATGGTTTTGTATACACAAAATTACTAGAAAGACACAAATACCTAGCTTTACATAAAGCTAATAATAATTTTGATGCAAAATTAATTATTAACCAAGAATCTAAAAAAGACTTGTTATGGTGGTTAAATCATTTAGATAAAGCAAGAAACCCCATAAGACAATTTAGATTTAATTTAACTATATATTCAGATTCATCTGGCTCAGGTTGGGGTGCATTTTGTAATGGCCAGAGGGCCAGGGGTTTCTGGACTAAAGAAGATAAGAAAAATCATATTAATTATTTGGAATTATTAGCTGCCTTTTTGGGTTTACAGTGTTTTGCAAAGAGCTTAAATTCATGCCAAATTTTGTTACGCATAGATAACACCACAGCAATAGCATATATTAATAAAATGGGAGGCATTCAATACCAAAAACTAAATGCTCTTTCTAGACAAATATGGCAATGGTGTGAATCTAGGAATTTATGGATATTTGCCTCATATGTTAAGTCAAAAGAAAATGTGGAGGCTGATCATGAATCTAGAATAAAAAATATAGATACAGAGTGAGAACTCTCTAATAAAGCATTTAAAGAAATTATAATAAACTTAGGGTTACCATCTATTGACCTCTTTGCTACCAGGGCTAACACTAAGTGTTCAAAATATATTTCTTGGCATAGAGACCCCTATGCAGACAATATTGATGCCTTTACCGTTGATTGGTCACAGTATACTTTGTTCTATGCTTTCCCCCCATTTTCATTAATATTAAAGACTATTCAAAAAATTCAATATGATAAGGCCTCTGGCATATTAGTTTTTCCTATGTGGAACTCTCAACCCTGGTACCCACTTATCTTGGATATGGCTGTATCTAATATTATATGTTTTGAGCCAAGTAAATACTTACTAATGTCACCTTCCAGGACGCCGCATCCCCTTCACAAAAGCCTTTCCCTGGGAGCCTGCATACTATCAGGGAGGCATTAAGAAACAAACTCCTACCAGAGGAGACCATTGAAGTTATGATATCATCCTTATCTCATAATACGGTTAAACAATATACAGTAGCCTTAAGAAAATGGTGGCTTTATTGCCAGGGTAAAGACATATATGAACTATCAGTACCTAAGGTCTTAGCATTTCTAACACAAATTTATGAAAGTGGAGCTTCATATACCACTTTGAATACTTATCGTTCTGCACTCTCTTTGATAATTGATTCCAGTTTGGGTACAGATAACCTCATTAAAAGATTTTTTAAAGGTGTCTTTCGTCTCAAGCCTTGTAGACCAAAGTATAATGATACATGGGATCCTTCAATTGTTTTAAATTATATTGAAAACTGGTTTCCCAATGAAACTTTAGGATTAGAAAAATTAACCAAAAAATTAGTTATACTGCTAGCCCTAACTAGTGCACAAAGAATACAAACATTAGCTGCAATCGCATTAAGTAATATAGAATTTACTGACTCAGGAGTTAATATAAAAATAACTAGCTTATTGAAAACTTCAGTGCCATCCAAGGTTCAGACCATTATTGTACTCCCATTTTTTCAGTCCAAACCAGAGATCTGTCCAATAGTTACATTAAAGTCCTACATTAATCAAACTAAAATGTTAAGAAATTCTAATAATACCGAAAAGTTGCTTCTGTGCTGCAAAAAACCTCATGGGAGTGCTAGTAACCAAACAATTAGTAGGTGGATAAGACAAATCATGTCAGATAGTGGTGTGGATGTTAAAATATTCACACCTCATTCTACGCGACATGCCTCTACTTCCTTAGCCCGTCGAGCAGGTGTTACATTAGATACTATTTTTAAAACCGCAGGTTGGTCTGAAGGTTCTAAAGTGTTTGCAAAGCACTATAATAGGCCTTTAACTAGTCAATCAAATGATAATTATGCATTTGCGAGGGCTGTGTGTAATACGGATTAAATTTTAACTGATTTTGTGTAATCATCTAGGAAGGAGATAAATACTACTGTTATTATGTTTCTATGTAGTAATTTGTTCTTTAAAAATACATGTGTTTTTTGATTCATTGTATGTGGTTTTTTCAGTTATTGTAATACAGTGTTCCCGCTACAACTCCCAGCCTCTAAACATCTACTAGTGATTATATGAAGGTTGTCTCGGACTAAGCATTTCATATAATTGTAAAATTAAACGAACTTACCTTAAGTGAAGTTCTATGGAAATTATATGAGATGCTTAGTCCGAGACAATAGACACCCTCCCATCCCGAATACTCATCATAATTGCTGATATTCACCCCTATATCTATAGCTGGGAGTGGTAGCTCCTCGTTTTTTCCAGGATAGCTCTAAAATAATGACGAATAAGTATAGTGTTGCCATGGTGTGGATTTTTTGTCGCATTCGCTTCTCTCTAAATCACGCGATGACACAATGCGAGGATTGTGAAACTACTAGTGATTATATGAAGGTTGTCTCGGACTAAGCATCTCATATAATTTCCATAGAACTTCACTTAAGGTAAGTTCGTTTAATTTTACAATTATATTAGCTTCTTTCAATTCCTCGATTATGGATAAAATTTCATTATCATGGTTTGAATTGCCAGCATCTCTTGAAGCTACTAATAATTTTAATCTCTCAACCAATTCATTGGGATCGTCCCAATATACTAAATCAGTGGAAGTTTTGTATTTTTTGAGTTTTGGTAGACTACCCCCAAGTTTGAGAATTTTGTCGTTTGAAGTCTCGGAAAATAATGGCTTAATAATTTCACAATACTTTATTCCTTTGTCACCTCTTAACTGACCTTTAGGGTTAAAATCTCTCTTATATATTAGTATGTTGTAGGTCCATACTTGTGGAATATCGGCTTCGACGATTTTTTTGCGATACCAATACCATCCGGATGTACTCTGAACGCGTATGCTGATGACGGCTTATTACTGGTGGAATCTGATACTAGGGCGGGGCTTGAGAGATTAGCCAATAGATGTTTGAACTTGATATCTCAATGGGGTGAACGTAATCGCTTAACTTTTGCACCCAACAAAACCTTCCAGCTAATTTTAAAAGGTAACCTCAAATTACCGCCGTGTTATCTAGGATGTATAAAACCTCAGTGTGTTATCTAGGATTAGTTTTAGAAAGAAACTTTTCATTTATCGAACATATTAAAATAGTTAATGAAAAGTCTAAAAAGAGTTTCTGTGCATTGACAAGGATATCAACTGCGACATGGGGTCTACCATTTAATACATTAAAGATCATATACGGAGCTACTTATTTAGGTTCTATGTGCTATGGTGCACCTGTATGGGCCGATAGGGCGACCGTAGGCGCTGTCCGTCGCAAACTATTACAAGGCCAACGACTTGTACTGATATTCTTGTGCAAGGCATATAGGACGGTTAGCACTGAGGCTTTGCCGGTTTTGGCGGGTGCGCTTCCGGTCGATCTCGAGGTGCAGAGACGGCAGCCATGTACTATTCAAGACAAAACATGGAATGCGATTTTTTGGGCGCGCAGAATCGCGGTAAAATTACAAGATTGCTTCAACAGCAGTCCGATGTCTATAATGACCTCATAGACGACTGGCAGCAACGCTGGGACGAATCATCCAAGGGGCGCCATCTATACCAATTCTTTCCATCTGTTTGCGAACGGTTGTCGAGGACATGGCTTGGGGGATCACTGTATTATGAAAAAAATGTTGACATAACCTATATATTGCAATAACCGCGAAACGTGTCAAAAACTAATAATTGACAGATAATTATTGTCTATTGTTTTACATGTTTCAACAGATTATAAATACATGTGTCATATATGATCAAAAACGTTGTGAGTGAAATTTCATCTTGACACGCTCGTGTATCATATCTGATTCGTTTTTTTTTACCTATAACTCATCTGAATTATATAAATTATCTTCTAAAATAAGTTCATGAACTTTAAAAATACCAACAGAAACTTATTTAAGAAAAAAAAATCGGTTGTCTGTAAAGTCGGTTTACTGACGATAGTTGAACGTGACAACGTCATAAGAAAATACTGATGGAATGGTTGCATTTTTCAAAAATGTATTATTGTAAACGAGTAGCAGCTGTCCACGCGGACGCATCGCTCACTCAAGTAGGAGAGAGACAGATGTCGAACGCTGCCGAACGCGGAGGCCGATTGTGCCTCTTTGTCGCTCGTTCCGCGCTCTCGCTTGCACTTCACGCCTTAAATGGAACGCCTCAGAGCGAGGTAACGCCGCATGAGTCATGTTTTTTCATGCGTGCAGCCGGCTCCATCGAATTATAAGACGTTGTCACGTCAAAAACGCGGGGCGTGTGGCACTTTAAAATTTTTGATGTATGGGGACAGGGAACCTGTTAATTTTAGAAATAGTTTTACGTGTTCTTTTTAACTGTTGATTACCTTTTACCGAGATAACAATAGATGAATGGTCAGTAATGGTTGAGTTACAAACAACTGTAGTTGCTGTACAGCCTATTTTAAGAAATGAGTGGTCATAACACTTCGATTGTCTGGTAGGGAAGGTATGACTGGGCAACAGTCCATTCATGGACAGCTGGTTTAGGTAATCTGGAGTCCTTCAATCTTGATTACCCTCCTTAATGTCAAGGTTCATATCACCCGTTACTATAAGATTTTTGAAATGTCTTAGATTATGTAAAATATGATCGAGGGATTCTTTGAAGCGATCGACAGTGTATACTGAAGGTGACCTATAAATTGCTACGATGGCGTATTGATTGTTTATTTCAGCAACCAGCAGTCTGTATCCACCATTTTCGGTTCATAAACTTTGACATTTAAATCATCACTAGTATATATTACGACGCCACTATTTTGATTAATGTAATGTTTAGATGAATGGCAAATAAAGTTTGATAAACTAGGTATGTTATTTAAGTGAGGGAGCCAACATTCCGTTAAAATTATGAGATCAAACTTAATTTTTAATCTTGCAAGATGAACTGTAAAATCGTTAAAATTATAATCTATGCTTCGAATATTCTGTACAATTATATTTAGGCTATTATGAGATTGACCCAGTAGATCCCGGCAATCGTCAGCTTCATCTATCAGGAACGCTTCACCAACACTAACATTGACATCAATGTCAGTGTTCACTTGTTGTAAGTCATTTGTCATATTGTTTATATTTGTTAATATTATAGAATAACATATAATGGTTTGGCGCTCCTGACCACATGACGCCGATCACGTAGACTATACTGGGTGAGATAAAATTTGTACTATAATGAATCCAGTTTGTTAGAATATTCGAAAGTGTGAAATTACCAGTGTAAGTGAACAAAGCTGGTAATAAAAGAATGTTAAATAAATGAATATAGTTAGGTGAAGGACATAAATAAATATTGATTATTATAATATTAGTAGATAAAAGATATATTATATTTGTTGACGCAGTTGTAATATAAATTCTAAGTAATATGTGTAAATAATAACAGGTAAGAGAGTAAATAGTAAACCAACAGATTAGCAAAAGTGTTAGCCTAATACTTTTATGTAGTCACTTTGACTTACATTGAAACTTTTCCAAATTTTTAGGCTTTTCAATACGTATCGGAGTTTCATCTTCACTTTTTCTCAACAACACAATTCCTTTTGAGGCCCAACAGTACTTAAATGAACCATCCTTGACGAGTTGTTTGGCTGCATTAAGTAGCATTTTAGTTTTAGGAGTCAGCTTATCAGAAACATAAACATGGGTTATAGAAGATAGCTAGCATAGCTTTTTAATGTTGCCTAAGTATTCATAGTAAGACATTTTAATTGCGCAACTTATTCCGTCTGTACAAGCTAGCTTAGCCAACGAATCAGCCTGCTCGTTACCCCGAAGCCCAATATGAGAAGGAACCCATTGCAGCCTCAAAGTCTTCCCAGATGAATTGAATTCCTGAATTTGCTTTAGCACCACATAAGCTATCGGTGCACCTCTGATACCAGAGGCGCACCGAGCAATATGCTGCAAAGCACTTTTACTATCAGTTAAGATAACTATTCTGTCCCTATTTAACGAAGCAGCTTCGCTCAAAGCCTTTGAAATTGCAATAAGTTCCAGTGTCATAATGGATACACAACAGTCAATTTTAAACATAGCTGATGTTCCACGACATACATCAAAAAAAGCAGCCCCGTATCCAGTCTCATTTTTTGATCCATCAGTAAAAAGGAAGTGCCATCCATAATATTTTTCTTGTAATTCTCTAATTACTTCATGTTTCAAAACTGCAATATTTAGGTATCTTTTAGCTGTTTTGATTGAATCTAACTCTAATTTGACAATATAACTAAGATCTATATAGGTAATCCATACACATAAAGAGAACATGTCTAAAGAACCAGCTGAGTGTATATCATACAATTCACACACGTTAACTACGGAAACTAACAAAGGAATGTTTTTATGTCCCCAATATGAATTATTACTCGTACATAATGATCTAAGATCTTCTACGAGCTTTATTGTGATATTATCTGTCCAGGACATACTCTTAATACAATACTTATAAGCAAGGTACATTCTTCTAACAAACAAAGGTGGTATGCAAAGTTCTGCCTCCATCACGTGTATGGGTGTACTTTTAATAAATCCACCCACAATTCTCAACGCCTGGTTCTGGATCTTGTCCAATTTGAATAAGTGTGTCTTAGCACTATTATTATATAAAAAGCTACCATAATCAATTCTGCTTCTTATTAAAGAAATGAATAGTATGCGAAGGTGTTCTGGGTGAACACCCAAAGATGGACCTGTGAGTATTTTAAGCAGATTTAAGTGTTTCATGATCTTCGATGAAATTTCATTTATATGTTTACCCCATAGTAAAGCTCTATCTAGCCAAAACCCCAAATATTTAAAACTCTCAACACATGAAATAATATCATTATTGATAGTTACATTTATATCAAGTTTCTTAC